TTTGGGTTTTCTTGGCAAAGATACTGGAGTTGCCTGACATTTTTTTCTCCAGTGCATTTTACAGATGAGGAAACTGAGGCAAACAGGGATAAGTGACTTGCCCAGGGTCATACAGCTAGTAAGTATCTGAAGTCAGATTTGAACTCAGGAAGATAAGTCTTCCTGACTCCAGGCCCAGCACTTTATCCACTGAACCACCTAGCTGCCCTTACTAAACTAAACTCATTGCATGCTCCATGAACTTTGTACCTCCCCTAGAGCAGAGCATAGATTAATTTAATCAATATTTATTTAATGTATTGAATTTTGTCTTTTCATATATGCACACACACAGAAGAAACTCTAGAGATGAATAATAATAGTAATAGCAGAGCATATTAATATAGTGCCTTTAAAGCTTACAAAAGTGCTCTATTTGCTATATTCATAGTAAAATTACCTATGTGTATAGTATGCTTACATATTATTCACATCTGAAGGATAGTATTGCTATATTTATATTTAAGTATGTTGGGGAAAAAAGAATAATAGGTAATTATTAGTCCTTTCCACTCTGAATTCATGTGCCCACTATTCACCAATAGTTTGACCATTGTTTGCAGGTCTCATGATGTTTGTAGCTACCTTTTTGCCTTATAGTCTGCAAGGTGACTTTGCTCACTCCTCTCAGAGAGTTGCAGAGTCAGGGAGTCAGTCTGCTTCTGTCTCTGATACATTTCTGCTGCTTACTTTATTCACAGTTAATTTATTGATTGTTTTTTGGGCAACACTTTGCTTTTATGGAGTGCCAGTTGTTAATAGAAGGATGATTCAGAGAATTCCAAAGGGCATAAATTACATTATATCAAGAGAGAGTGTTACATTTCAGGGGGAAAAATAGCTCCATCTCATTGGATATAAAATGTCATCCATTAAAACACAATTTGACAGTGGAAAGACTCAGGAAACCCCACTAATCTGTATTCAAAAGACTGAGGGAAAAAATGGACTTGGAATGAATAGATTTTAGACTATCTTATTCCCACCCTCTTCATTCTTATCCCTCTGAAAAGAATCTCAATAGCACATTTAATAGATGTGGGAATAGCAGTAAATTAAAAATAATTTCCCATAAAACTGTTGTTGGACTAAAACAACTTATAACTGCTAACATAAACAGCTCAGTAGTCAAAGTATAAATAAGCATACTGGTATTTCCGAAGCCATTATGCCAACTCTTTGTAATATACATCACCACCCAAAACCACCTCTACTCTGTCTCCTACTTACCAGAATTATATTGTCTTTTGCTTATTTGATTCAGTGAATTGTACCATGTGTCACAAGATAGGTTCAGGACCTTAAGACAGTAGAAGATTTTAGGCAAGTCCAGGAACCTGCTCTAGGCTGTTGTTACCCCAAAGATTATAACCTAGAACTGGACCAGTTCTAAAGATGGGAAGGAATTCTCGGATCATATTGAGAAATTCTTAGAAATTCTGAATTATTTCAGTAGGGTTCGAGGCCATATTAGTTGTCACCCCCATCTCTATAGCCAATCTAAGTTCAAAGAACTTATTCCTTATGGATTTCTCCTTAACATTATTATTATTTTTGTTGTATTATTGTTGTTGGTGGTGGTAGTGGTAGTGGTAGTAGTAGTAGTAGTAGTAGAAGTAGTAGTAGTAGTAGTAGCAGCAGCAACACTATTAGCATTAGTAGTAGTAGTAGTATATAATTGATATTTATAGAGTCCTTCAAGGTTTTTAAAGTACTTAAATTCTTTTCATTTGAGCATCATAACAACCCCATGCGGTGCTGTAGCTATCATAGACATATTAACTTTAGCATTCTGTGAGCCACTTTGGTCTTTATTGGGTTCACCCCCCCCCCAGGGGCCCCAAGTTCTACAGCTGTATTCGATTTCAGTCTTTTGATTAAGGGTCTTGCCGTCCTGCATAGCTGAGTGATTAAACAGGAGTATATGACCTATTATTATCAGTGTTTATCTTCAAAATGTCTTACATTTGTTCCTTTTTCTTTCATTCCTTTGGCCACCACCCTAGTCCAGGATCTTATACAGGGATAGCTACAATATCCTCTTGGCTGGCTTCCCTCATTTTCCGTCCTCCAATCCACCTATCATTTGGGTAGCAAACTAATGTTCCTTAAATAGTGATCTCAACATGTAATATGCCTAATCAGGGAATTTTAATGGCTCCCTCTTTCTTACCACATCAAGTCTAAACTTCTCTGACTGGCTCTAAGGCCCATAATAATCTGGTTTCACTCTATCTGAACACAGCATCAGTTTTTTAAAATTATTTTTTATTATGAATTTAACAATCATCAACAAACAAACACCTAAAGATACAAAGAGCAGGAGAGAAGATTGTATAAGAAACTGTGAACTTCCATTAGAATATGTGCACACAAACACATATATGTATGTATACACATATGAAGTTTAATAAGGGAATAACAAAATAACTGTATTTATGTCCTCTTCTGCATTTCTTTGTTTTCTGTGAATTTTGGAAAATGTTTTGTTTATGGTCTTTTTAAAAACATTTAGCTTTATCTAATAAGCCAATTTTTCAACCCCACTCTGAGTCAAACACCTCTCTTTTCACAAATACGTATACGAAAGCAAAACAAGTCAACATACTGGCCATGTCTGAGAAGGTTCTGTGTTGTTTCCTACAATTCTCCATCCCACCCCCTCAGTTCTAGTCAGACTGGTCTCTTATGTCCCACAAAAAATGCATTGCTCATTACTGTCTCTTTGTCTTGACTTGTATTCTTCCCCACCCAGTATACCTTCCTTTTCTTCTCTTCCTATTCAAATCAAACTCACCTTTCAAGGCCCAACTCGGGTTCTTCTTCTTTTGTGATAAACAACTTATACCCTATTCCAGGTCTCATTTAGCTCTACTTTTATGGAAATTCTTTAGCATTTAAAGTCAATACAAATCTATCAATTAATGAAGAAGCACTTATTTAAGTACCTACCATGTGTCAGGCACTATGTTAACAGGCTAGAGATATAAATCCAAGCACTTATGAAGGGCTTACCATGAGCCAGGCATTGTGGCTGTGGGGTGGTCAGTACCATGTACTTTAGGACAAGGCAGTATCTTGCATCATTTATTACTGTCTCACGTGTGTCAGTCTTGTTTCCCCAAATATATTATAAGCTCCTTGAGAAAATGGACCATGTTTTTTTTTTGTTTTTATTACCTTGATACAGCCTGCAGTGCCACTCTTGCACAGTACTGGACATGTAGTAAGTAACTGATATTTATTGATTGATAGATTTAGCTTCAGAAGTACTAAACCAAACCTGCTAGTAAACATAGTGGCAAACAGTATACTCATTTGCACTTCAGAAATTCCCTTTCCTCATGAGATAGGAGTTAGTATAACTTCTTTTGGGGAAAGTAGAATGACAGCAAATTGTTTAACTATCAAAGATATTTTCATTGTCAAAGGACCCAATAACCTTTTTTCAATCCTCATCCTTGAACTTTATGCACCATTGGACACAATACCACCCTTTCCCCCTGGATATACTCCCCTCTCAGGGTTTTTGTGACCCTGCTCCCTTTTGGTTCCCCCACTACCTCTTTAGCTCCCCCTTCTCAATATCCTTTGTTGCCTTACAATTCATATCATACCCCCTAACGGTGATTGCACCCCAAGCCTCTGCCCAAGGCCTTTTCTTTTGTTTTTCTACAGTCACTTTCTTGGTGACTTCATCAGCTTCCATGGATTCAATAATTACTTCTATGCAGATGACTCAAAAATCTATGTATCATAGATTTATATATCTACATAAAAAATCTATGTATTTAAAATCTATACATCAAAAATCCAGTGTCATATTACCAACTTCATATTGGACATCTTAAGATTTTTCTCAAACTCACCATGGCCCAAACCTACTACTTTTCCAAGTTTCCCTGTTTATTTCAAGAGCACCAAATCATCCTCAACTCCTCATTCTCCTTTACTCCACATTTTGAATTAGTTGCCAAATTTGTCAAATCTCTCCAAAACATTTTTTGCTCATGTCCCCTTTTCTCCAAACACAGGGCCACCACCCTAATTCAGGTCACCTCTGTCGCCTTATTACAATATCTTTCTAATTGGTCTTCCTACCTCATGTCTGTCTCCTCTTCAATTTACTCTCCACCATGTTGCCATATAATATTCCTAAAGCCCAGCTGAGCACTTCTCTGCTCAGAAAATTCCAGTGGTTCCCTATTACCTCTAGTATCCAATGTAAATTCCTTGATTTGGCATTGAAAGCCATTTGCAACCTGGCTTCAATCTGTCTTTCTGGATTATTACATATTACTCCTTTTCACATATTCTACTTTCCAGCCAAAGAGGCCTTTTTGCTGTTCCCCATATAGAACACTCCAGCTCCCATCTCTGAGCCTTTGCACAGGCTGTCCACTATGCCTGGAAAGCACTTCTTCCTCACTTTTATCTCTTAGAATCCCTAGCTTCCTTCAAAGCATATTGTACACTGAGCATAAGCTCTCTGACATGAGTCCTTCCCAGATCCCCTTAGCTGCTAGTGCCTCCCCCTGGGATTTAACCTGTATTTATTTTGTATATACATATATGTTTATATGTTGTCTTCCCTGATACTTGAGGGCAATAATTAATTTACTTTACTTAATTATTTAATTTATTTAATTTTAATTTTATTTAATTTTAATTTATTTAATTTTATTTAATTTAATTTACTTTGTCTTTATAGCCCCAGTGCCTAGAACTGTACCTGGTACATAGTAGGCACTTATTAAATATGTACTGATTAAAGGACCTTCTAGTACTGTAACATGAGCAACTGTGACAAAATTGTTGGGGCATAAATTTTGTGTAATTTTCCTGAGTTGATCCCTCTAAATTATTGAGATTTCAAGCATTTCAACAATGACATTTAAAAAAAAATTTTCCCCATATTTTGGAGGTGAAGAAAAAAGCAAATATGAGTTACAATAACCTACCTGAGAAAGAATCAATTGTCCATGGAATTTGCGTACAAATTTTCTTAAAAATGAGAAATACGTTTCTTCTCCAAGCCTACTGGCTAGAAACCGCAGAAGAAAATAGCCCTATGAGAAATAAAAACTAAAAATAAAGAAGATGCCAATGGTTATCATATCAGAAAAAAATATTTATATAGTGGACTCCAAGCTATCTGCCAGTGAATTATAATTATTTTGATTTATCCATGACAAATCTTTAGACATAGCCCATGCTAATCATAAGAGCTTGTAATTGTAAGGTCCTTCTTGATTACAAAGTTCTTTACATACTCATTTATGCCTCACAACAAAATGGCATGTAATGAAAATGTTATTATTCCCATTTTACAAATGAAAAAACTGAGGCTCAGAGCTCACATTCACAAAGTTAGTCAGTGAAAAAGCTAGGATTGGAACCTAGGTGTTCTGACTCCAAGATAGTCTTCTATTAACTTACACGTGAACCTGGAGGTTTCACCAATATGAGGCAAGACATTAGGTTATGGCTGCTATATGTCCTACTTATTTATTAACAATACAAGCTGCTTTTCTCTTTTTCTATATGCAGCCTCATAGTTCAATATGCTTTTGAAGGAAAGGAAATTTACGGGCCTTTCCTCATATACTGGCTTAGTAACATGGAAGCTTTTATTAAATCCCAAGTTATTCCTGTCTCCAGACTGCTGCTTTATAGTAGCCTGAAGGGATGTCAGTCAAACCTGATATAAACAGGAGGCAGGAAAGAAGAGTAAAGGGCTAGAAAGAATTGAATAGTTTTTCAGGTTTTTTTTGGTCAGATCTTCATAACACAGTTTCATTTTAGATTATGAAGTGTTTCAATGCCTGCAGTATCAGATGCATCCTTACTCTAACGTAATTACGAAGAAGTATTCCAAATCCAAATAGAAGTAATTTTTTTGGATTATCATATGACTTCTTTATCATGATATGATCAAAAGTTATTAACCGATAACATACAATAATTTTGGTGTTATAAAACTTGAACACTCTTACCTTCAAATAATGGACTTGCATGAAGATCTTTTCTGGATTAAGACCGTATTTGACAACTGAAGCTCCAGACTCACTCACTTGTCCTGTTTCTTCTCTATTGGGTCTATTATTGAAAGGTGGGAAAAGCACTTTATTATTTTCCCTGCACAAATACTGTCTCATCTCTTGAAAGCCTTGCTCACCTGGGTCTTCATTTGTTTGTCACTACAATTGTTTCAACATTTTTAAATATACTGCCCGATCAAGAAAAGATTCATATTTGGGTGACAACCTGTAGTTATTTTTTTTTTGACATGAGTTGACATAATTATCAAGGTTTAAGCTAGACAAGATCTCACCGAATCTTCTGCTTCTTTTGTTTTAGAACCTCTATCATTTTGATGCCTCCACAAATTCTGACTCTGATGTCTCCCCACCAGAGGTACATAGAAAGGTAATCCCAGGTTCTCAAACACATAACTTACAGCATACTGTAAGCTTAGGCAAGTCTCACAATTACAGAAAGGCTTCAACTAGGATTCTGGCAGAAGACTGCCTACTGAGGATCAGCCTCATTAAGTAAGGAAAACATCAATGCCAGTACACTTACTATTTGGTACTGAATTTCTCACCTATGCCAACCAATGATATAAAGAAAAATGCAAGATGGTCCTCAGTCCTGTGTAGCCCCTTCTGATACTTCAATGAAGGGGGTAGTATGTCAGGAAAGGAGTACAAAAATTTTAAGTGGTAAGGGACCATGGAAGTCATATAATCTAACTTCCTTGTTTTATAAATGAAGTAACTAAAAAGAGGTTAAGTGACTTGATCAAATAAAGTCACTTAATAAGCTGGACTCTAAATCCAGTGCTTATTCTACCCTACCACAGTAGAGGGTACTAAGGATTGAACATTTTTTTTAAAAAATGGGCTAGAAATGTTAATGTCTCTATTTGTCCTCTAAACATCCCCCTTGTCCAATGACCAGAGAAGAACAGACATGCTCCTAGAGGAACCAGATTGTATCAATCTTGACCATCTTACTATACACAAAACTATAAGAAAGCAGGAAATTGCAGTTAAATGGAAGAATGGCCAACAGGATCTCCATGGACAGGAAAATAGAGAATTTGACATCTATTTTACAGAGAGCCCAAAGGTGGTAAGAGACATCATTTTTATGCGACATGTTCATCTTGTGTTGCATTTCACATAAGGATTTCCCAAAGCAAAAGTATCACACACACCCTGCAACACTCCTGAGTGTAGCTGGAACCAGATTAAAATGTAATTATGAAATATTTAACAAAATAAATAAAAATACAATAGAGCAAAGATAATGTTTATATATAAGTTTTCTAAGTCAATTTGTAGCCTACAGGGATCTTTACATACAATTAAGTGGCTCAGTTTCTATTTGAGTTTGAAACAACTATTCTAAAGGACTACCATTAAAATAATTGCAGCATACACACTGGCATCCACTGCAGAGAATGATGTAGTACAGAAATTTGATGAAGTATTTGGTAAGATACTCCAAATTAAATCAACATATACACTGATGTTCATTATCTTGAATGTTAAGGGAGGAACAGGTAAGAGAAATAAATTAGAAAACATGGATCAGTAATGAGGTTTGAGAGAAGCCAGAGGCTGACAGATTACAGATTACAAAGGCTCACAGAAGCTAATATGCCTATATATCATGAATATTTTCTTTAAGAAAAGAATTGGTAGGCACTGAACATAATGAACAAAAAATGAAATTGATTGTACTTTATGACAGAAAATGAATTATTGCTCATGTAAGAATTAGCTGTCTTTGTACAATCAGATCACTGACTTAATAAAGCAAAGATTAAAATCAGTACAAAGCTAGGAGAATAAAAATGAGGAAAAGATAAGGCATACTATTAAAATAGGTCAATTCTAATCTATTCAAATTAGTTTCTGATAACAAAAAAGTGGATAGTGAGCAGAATAGAGGGAAAACAATAAACTACAATAATTTCATTCAGAAGTTTAACCATTGAAAATCATATTTTAACTATATGTAAATTTTCATAAGTAAGTGACCAAAAGAACCTAAAAAGCACCGTAGTCAGAAAGTCCATGAATTATCTCCTATGGGAAAGGAGATGGTAACCAAAAGCAATACCAGTTTAGAATGTAAACTGTCTCAAAAAATCTTATGCAGGATACGATTACAGTCATTATCAATATCATTTCTGTTATCCATTTCCTATTTTTGAGTTCAATTGCTTCTTCAGGTAATTCAGAGTTAAGGCATTTTAACTGTATTTCACATCTTTTTCTCATTATTATTCTTCTGATTTTTTCTTTTTCTAATAATTCTGATTACAGTTCTAATGACTGAAGGTCTAACTGTGCACAGACAGCTGATTCAAAGATAATTCATACATCAAAAACAATTGTTTTCCTTTCTTTCAAAATATTAATTATTTTGGGGCAGCTAGCTGGCACAGTGGATAGAGCACCGGCCCTGAAGTCAGAAGGACCTGAGTTCAAATCTGGCCTCAGACCAAACACTTGACACTTACTAGCTGTGTGACCCTGGGCAAGTCACTTAACCCCAACTGCCTAAAAAAAAAATTACATATTTATGTATATATATAAAAAAACCTATTTTGTCCTTCTTGGTATTATTTGGTGATCACCTAGTCACACCAATGCTCTTTACTAAGAAAGTGTTTATGGCACAGAAGAAGCATGAGGTTTTTATGCAATCTACAAGCCTTTGGACTTTATTAGTCCTTCTTCCTAAACTGTATTTCCCATATGTTTCTTGCCATTCTTACCTTTTCCTCTCTTCGCACTGAAGTCATCAAGCACTAAAATACGTGTTGAATTAATTTGGAAGATCTTATCAAGTTCTTCATAGAGTTTCTCTACCATTAGCAACTAATGTTGGTACAGAAGCTACAGTTATTTTAAAGGGAGAAATGCATACATTTATCATTAGTACTACATTAAATGATGAATAAGTATGCCATGACATGATATTTCTTATTGCCTTCGGGTATATGCTAAAACCCAGTCCTCTCCCTCTTTTGTTTGCCTTTCCAGGAACTACCTGTGACCTATCCTTCCATTTAGATGGATTTCTCCTAGTTCTCCATTTCTCCTAGATTCTTCATAGCAATAATGTCAAGACTGATAGGATTCAGCTTCTTTAGCAATGAGACAGATGTCAAAGGCAACACCAGGCTAGAATATAAACTCATTTGTAAAATATTATGAAGAAAGATGAAAGATAATTATGAGCAATGTGTCATAAAGTAGAGAGGAGCAGAGTATAAAGCTAGTTCATTTTTTAAAAATTAAATTATATATTTTCAATTAACAAAAATCTATCTTCTTTCCCTCCCAACCCCACCCAACAAAAAATGAAAGTAAAAATAAAGCCTCTATTATAAACATGTATAGTTAAGCAAAATGAATTTCCTCATTGGCCATGTTCCTCCTCTCACCCACCCCTATACATACATATGTCTCATTTTGCATTTTGAGACTTTCACCTCTCTGTCAGGATATAGATAGCATGTTTGCATCATCAGTCGTCAAGAACAGTTGTTAGTAATTATGTTTATCAGATTTACTAAATCTTTCAAAGTTGTTTGTATTACAATATTGTTGTCATCGTATAAATTGGTCTGGATCTGCTCACTTCACACTGCAACAGTTCATATAAGTTTTCTGAGATTTCTCTGAAACCATCCCCTTAATTAATTCTTACAGCATAATAGTATTCCATCATATTATAAAGCATAACTTGTTCAACCAGTCTCCAAATGATGGGCATCCCTTCAGATTCCAATTCTTTGCCATCTCAAAAAAAAGTCATCAATTTTTTTTTTTACAGTATATCCTTAGAATTTGTTTTCCTTAGAATTAAACCCTCCCTTAATCTACTATACCTCTAATTCTCCTTTCTTCTCTTTCCTTTCTATTCGTCTGATAAGTAAGATACATTTTTGTACCCAACTCTATATTTTTCCTTCCTTAAAGCAGTTCAGATAAGAGTGAGATTCAAATGTCAGTCATTCCCCCTCACCCTTTCCACATTGTTTTTATTGACTTCTACTTGCCCATCTAGATTATATGAGATAACGTGATTATTTTCTCTAACCTTCCTTTCCCTTCCCCTCCAGTGTATTCCATTCCCCCATCTACTACTCTTTGAAGATTACCAAGACCTAACAGAAACACTCCCAGGTTTTCTGTCTATTTAAAATACTTCTATGATCCCTGAAGATGATAGGATTTAAAGAGGACACATGTATCATTTCACCATATTAGAATGTAAGCAGTTTATCCTTGTCTAGTTCCTTATGGTCGTTTGAACTTGAAGGTTTTTACAAAACTCTGATCTTTTCAGGGATGTTTGGAAGTCTTCTACCTTATTAGAGGTCCATTTTCTCCCTGTAGTATTATACTCAAGTTATGCTTGTTAAGTCATTCTTAATTGTTTGCTTGTATCCTTTACCTTCTGGAATATCATATTACAAACACTCTCTCTTTAATGTTGGCAACTGCTGAATTGTGTATTATCCACATCGTAGCTTCTTAGTACTTGAATTTTTTTTGTTTCTGGCTGCTTGCAGTGTTTTTTTTTTTTCTTTGGCCTGGAAGATCTAGATTTTGGCTATAATGTTCATGGAAGTTTTCGTTTTGGGGTTTCTTTATGAAAGTGACTAGTGGATCCATTCTAGTTCCACTTTGCCCTTTGGTTCTAAGAGGCATGGCAGTTTCCCTTTATGATTTTTTAATTTATTTATTTTTAGTTTTCATCATTCAACAAGAATGTTGTTCAACATTCAACAAGATTTTCTCCCCATCTCATCTCTCCCCCCACCCCAAGATGGAGTGCATTCTGAATACCCCTTCCCCCAATCTGCTCTCCTTTCAATCCTCCTCGCCCCAGGACCGCCACCCAGAACTGTGACCCAGATCCAAGCACAGGCAAAGCAAGAGATTCCTGCCTCAGCATCAGCAAAGAGATCCCTGCAATCCCCCTCTGATCAGCCACTCTATTCCCCCATAGTCTGTGGGCTGAGAGCTCTGGAAGCAGCTGCCACCCCAGGGCTGCTCTGGGACTGGGAC